AGGCCAGTTGGGCCAGTTATATTTCACTTAACACGGAGAACAGCCAGTTAGCATTGGGGATCGATGCCAAAAGCTGTATTGAGTTGCCACAGGCAAGACCATCATGATGGGCCATCTGCAAGGTGAAGTAACAGAAACTATGAGAGAGGAGTTACCTTCCATTGAAGGTAACTTTAAAAGATAAAAACCTTAAGAGTTGAGGACCATACTTTGAATATCTCAGTTTCTCCCAACTTCCTTTGGCTGAAAAAAGACAAAACAAAACCTTTTTGGTGGGTGAGAGCTAAACACAGCGAAGCCTCTTTGGACTCCTCCTTGACAACTCCCTGCTGCCAGAGGCTGTTGGGACTGCAAGACCCATAACTGTAGGTCTGTGTGTAGAAGCTAGTGTTCGGGGTCTTTCCTTGAAACCCAACCCCCAGCCAGGTAGCCAGATAGCATGAGCTCATTCTGCCCTAACTGGGACAATGAGAAAATGGTCTGTGAATTTCTCTTCCACTCTGTCAAAATAAGAATAGAAAAACTAACCTCTGTAAAAGTGTTTTCTTTCAGCTTTTATTTGCACACATTCTGTATAATTATGGTCAGCAAGAGGGCATTTTCCATAGCCACATGGGCAGTATTTTCTACACAAAGCTTTATGCTGCCGGGCAGCCTGCCCTTGAGCAATTTACTTGTGTGGTGGATAGAAAATCATTGAACCTGTGGCCAGTTAGACCCCAGCAACATGTTCTCATTTGGACCTCCCCTGTAACAGGGCAAATTATTTTAATTTCCTTCCATCCCTTGTCCCTCTTCCCTAGGTAAAGTAATTCAATTTGGTGCAACCAACTTTACATAACCAAGTCTATGGTATGCCTTCCACCTAAATACTGATGTTCATATTTTAATATGCTTCTTTCTAGCTTTCAAGATCTTAGAAGTTTCTTATCCAGCTTTATTCCTCCTGACTCCATCTTATTTCCTCTCTATCCAGTTAAGCCTTTTATTTCACCGGCCCTCACACACCAAGCCCATATCCTCCTTCTGGCCATTTCTCATGCTATGTCCTACCATACCAATCCTGAATGCCTGCCTCCTTCCTCCAGCTTCTCTGAATCCTGCCTACTACTCAACACCCAGTTCCGGCCCCCTCACTGGCTGCTGAAGTCATCCTGATTCTTCCTTCCTTCCATGTATAGGCTGGTTTCTACATACCCATTGTGTATCACTAGACAAGTTAATCAAATATTGACATTGGTTTGTGCATAGAGCCATAGCATAAATCAAATAATTCATTTAGCAAGTATTTACTGAGCACTTACCTTATGTTCAGCTCTGTGGAGAACATTCTATTTCAGAAAAAGTATGGGGATTTATGGTGAATTAGACCTGTTTCTGTCCTTGAGGGATTAGCAGAGGTGTTTGGGGGTGGGGAGTGGGGAAGCTACACACATGAAAGAACAATTCCAGAGCTGAAGCCCAAAGTATGATGGTTCTTAAGGCAATGTGAGGTAAACAAGAAGGGGAGGAGGAGCTGACACCATCCACTAGAGTGAGGCAGGGGTTGGGAGGCAATTCCAGCTGACAGCAGAGTCAACTTTCTACTGTTCATTGGATGGATGGATGGATGGATGGATGGATGGATGGATGGATGGATAGATGGATGGAAGGATGGAGGGATAGATGAGTGGATGGATGGATGGATGGATAGATGAATGGATGGATGGTTAGATAGATGGATGGAAGCAAGTATAGATGAACCAAAAGATAGATGGTCCAAAAGGCATCCATCCATCCATGCAAGAAATATTTATTGAACATTTACTATGTGCCAGTTATAGGAGATCCTTAGATAGATAAGATAGTCTTCGATTAGATTGTAGTCTAGTCTGGTGGCATGGCAATGCAGTGATAAGTCAAGCAACAGTGACTTTAAAAGTTTAAAGGAATTAACAAGAGCTATCATTTTAAATATCTCTATGTTAAGTGTTTTTTCAAACATTATTGTTACAGTTCCCACTCTGCTGCAGCAAACTCACAGGGGCACTGTGAGTTGTTTTAAATTTTGAGGGGAAAAAGAATGATACTCAACATCTGTTAGACACTGTGCAAACCACTAGCTCAAGGTAGTTCACAGTTTCAACATGTGATCACCCTACATTCCTTTTGATGATGTCATATTTGTGGAGCTGGGTCTTTGGTAGCGGCTGCAATAAATAAACAAGAACCATATGAAAAGCAACATGGAACAGGAGATGAGGGCATCAGAGTCCAATCAGACTGCCAGGTTTGAGAAGTTGTCCAATGCCCAAGAGATGCATACATCTTATTAATAAGTAATGGTTGTTAACTTAAGGCTGAAGTAGAATTACTACTTTTTCTTTCAAAGTATATGTATTATTTTGTCAGAACCTAAATGCTTAAATTATTTGTTCCCAACTTCTTAATAAATGGGACCCCTACATGTTTCTTAAGGCCTAGAGACACTGTGGGAAAGTGACTGAGGTACTAAGGACACCATACACTGAGAGAGTTTGAGAACCTCTGTGTCATTGCCAATCCTCCCAGTTTACTAATTTACCAAACATCGCACAGGTAGCAAGATCCAGAGTCAGGATTTAAACCCAGATCTCTTCTAGTGGGTCTCTAAAACCACATCACTTGCGCTTAAAACAGAGATGGGTTCGTCAGGAGATGGACAGGTAGGGGGCCTGGTGGGGCAGAATCTGGGGAAGGGCAGTGGGACCGAGAGGACTAGCCCAGAGCCTTGAGAGCGCACTGCATCGTCACTCTGCCCTGCCACCCTTTTCTGGGCTGAGTTTCCAGGGCCCTGGTCTGGTGGGAGGAAGAAGAAACAACCCCTAAGACGAATACAGCAATAAACCCTCTGCTTTTCTCAGTGTGGTCACAAGATGGGGAGAGGGTAGGGTGTGGAGATTATGGTGCAGTGTGAGAAATGGGGGCTGAGTCACACACCTTTTGGGGGTCAAATAACTTTTTTTGCAGCCTGCTGATTGTTGAAAACATTAGTCGCTGCTGTCATAGTAATACCCTCAAATGGGCAGAGTCTTGCCAAGATTGTGAGGAGAGTAGAGGCAAATTACCTTGAAAGAGAAACCCTCTGGAATTGGGAAAATTTAGGTCAACATCATTTGAACCTTGACCTCCTGCTCTTTTGTCCCCAGACAGACATTTCCTTGACCTCCAGAAATTCCTCTGCCTGGAAGGAAGACTCCTCTCCCCTCCCTCCAGAGGCCTCCAAAGTGGGTGGAAACAGATTCAGGGCAAGGCCTCCCGGGAAGCATACAGGGCCTTGGGAGTGTGGAGAGTTGGAGAGGCTTCTCTGCAAAGATCTTCAAAGGCAAAGCCCAAGGCACTGAGACCCCAGGAGGGCGGGCTCCAAAGAGGAGTGCTGGAGGGAGAGCCTGCTGCCACCGCCCCGGGGCCTGGACAGGGACCCCCTACTGCGGCAGTGAGCCTGCTTATAGGAGCCCGAGAAGGCTAATTCAATTACCCTTATCAGAATGCCTCTGAACTTAACAAAGCAGATAATCAGTTCCAGAGACAGATACTGTGTGGGGGGCCAAAATTATTTTGCTTCCCAAAATTGAGGCTGAAATTGGAGATGTTTGAGTAATGGAAAACATAATCTCTCCCTGGGTCCAACCCCCCTCCCAGCACCCACACCTGACACACCCCTACCATTTGAGCCAAGAAGACTGGGATTCAACATCCACACCCATCTTCTTAACACACCTGGCCGTGAACTTGACCTCTTCCTCCCACCCTCTTTAGGAATCATAGTCAGAAAGAAGCTGTGTAGAGAGGCTGGGAGCAGGAGAAAGGGATTAACAGTTATTGAGCCCCTTATGTGTCAGGTTCATTATACACATTATCTAATTTAAACCACCCAACGTGCCTTTTTTTTGGGGGGGGGGGGGCGCGGAGGATGAGGAGAGGATTAGTACTACCACATTCCTGAAGGCAATGGAGATTTGGAAAAGTTAAATCAGTGCTAAAGGACCCATCCCTATAAGCAGTACAGGTTAGATTCAAACACAGGTATCAGACTCTGCAACTCATTATGGCAACAGGGCCTCTCTGCTCAGCATTAGAAAGCAAATGGAAACTCACTTACTCAAGGACTCATAGTAACCTTTCACGGTAGGGTTGTCTCATTTGTGGGTGAAGAAATAGACTCAGAGAGGCTAAGTAACTTTCCCAAGGTCACACAACTGGTGACTTTCTCAGTTGGGATTTGAGGCCAATGAGATTGGAGTTCAAACCAGGGCTCTCAGTATTACCTCACAGCTGCAATCCAACGTGTTTTCTAGAGACTTCCCCTCGTCCTAGGGAGCCTATGTTCTCGTTTCCCATTGAGTGTAGCTCAGGACTGAGCCCGCCATCATGTGAATAGTGGGTGCTGGGCAACCAGGATTGCTGCTGAATGTTCAGTGCTTTCCATCGCCAAAGGCAAGCTCTCAGTGCCTATTTGCTCAGAATATAGAGCATACCAAGTTAATACTCCGAAGAACCTCTCATATCCATGGCTCACATCTATTTACTTATTTAAACCCACTGTTTTTATTAGGTAACATTTGACATGTACAGAATAATACCTATGTAAATTGTAATCATAATGTGTGAGCCCACCACTCCACCTGACAACTAGACCCTTACAATGGATGCTCCTCCCATTCTTTTCTCCTGCCTTCCCCACAGAAACAACCACTATCCTGAATTTTGTGTTTATCATTCCTTTGCTTATTTTTATAGCTTTGCCAAGTATGTTTGCATGATAGACTGCATTATTGTTCTGAGTCTTTAGACATATGACCCTTTGACATGTGACTTTGCAGTTCCTCCCATTAGAGGTGGAATAAATGTCCCTGCCCAGTGAGGTTAGATTGGCTTGGGCCAGTGGAATGTTGTAGGCACTGATGGATGCCAATTTTGAACTTAGGTCTTCAGTGGCATCACTTGTCTCCACCTTCTCTTCTTAGATTCCTGCCTCTGTCCCAAGAAAAACGTGCTCCTGGTCCCACCCGCTGATTCAAGGAGGAATAACACTGTGTGGAGCAGACCTGGACCCAAACTGAAGTTGGAATCAAATCCAACGAAGCCCAGGCTAGATCAGCCATTCCCAGCCAATCCACAGACACTGAAGTGAGAAAACATGAAGGTTAGTAAGCCACTGAATTTTGGAGTAGTTTCTTATATGGCATTATTGTGACAATAGCTGATAATATATAGTGTATCGCTAAATAACCTCTTTGTTTTCTGAGTTTTGAAAAATGACCATTGATATCACGTATTGTCTACTTCTTACTTTTCTTCTCCACTCAACATTGTGTTTCTGAGCTTTATCTGATGGAATATAACATAGCAAATGAACTACAGCCAAATCCCCTTAGTTTAGAGATGAGGAAAGGCGAGAGATCCACGGAGCTCTCGAATGGCTGGATTGTCAGGGGAGCCCCAGTCTCATTCTTTCAGCAAATATTTATTGAACACAAGCAGAGCCCTTCCTCAGTGCTGGGGCTGTGAGGTGAACTGGGCACGAAGATTCCTGCCCTGGAGGGCCTTATGTTACAGGGGCCACTTCATGGAGAGAGGGCAGCGGACATCTGTGCCTCCTGTCACATCACTGCCAGCGTTTCCTCATTGCCTCTGCCCTGCCAGCTCTTTCCCCTCATTCCATTCACCAACTCCTGTCCCTGGAGGCAGATCGTGTAATTAAGGCAGCATGTGAGGAGGGCAGGCGGAAACCATGGAGTGGATAACTCTCCTCGGGAGAACAGCCGGCAGGCAGAGTTCCAGGGGAAAAGGCCAAAGTAACTGGGAAACTCGGGCCCAAGGATTGGGAGTCCGGTTTGCGTTTCTGCAGGTGCCATGTGTCCACAGGGAGCAGGCAGTTGTCTGGCCAGAGTGGACAGCAGTGAGCTCAGAAGCCCCGTGGACTTGGCTCCTGGTATGACCACAGTCATCAGCAGAATGTGTTTGGGAGACAAGGAAAGAATGAGAAATGTTCCTCACTCCTGAGGACTTTGCAGCCAAATGAGAGAAGCAGGATATATACACACACACAAAAAGGCCAGGCCTCAAACCCCTTCAACAAACACCAAACATCACAGATAGAACCAGAGCGAGCAGGTACACCTGGGCTGACGTGGACGTGCAGATGCCAGAAGTGGCTGAAACGACCGGGACCTGCTGACTGTCCGTAGAGAGGTGTCCTTTGTTTCCCCACAACATTTGGGTGGGTCCCACGAGAGCTGCCTTTTATTCCAGGCTTTGGAAAAGCACAGCGAGAATCACTTCACAATAAAACTAGACCGAACACAACCGCATACTCGCTCAATGATTCAGAAAGCATTCCAGGGTGTTGCAGGGCCTCGGGGACATCATTAGGAAAATCAGTTACCATACAGGATTGGAAGAAACTGCATCCTGGTGATATGAGGTTTCATGGTGATTGGGTCCCGGATAAGGAAGTTATTTCAGTAATGAAAGCTTAGCAATTCCTGCCAGGTAGGGAAATGGCAAAACCAAGGAGAGCGCTTGGCTGCTCCCAGCTCCAGTCCTCGGTCTGGAAGGGGAGGGGCAGCCACAGCGAGGGGGTGATCACTCCTTGAGCTGAGGGGTGTGTAGACAGGAAAGATCTAAGATCAGAATAGAACAGCTGTTGCTTGGGGAGGGGAGCACTGAGGGATGTTTTATCTGTCTGTCTACCTGATTCCTGTCTGAAAATCCCAGCTGCTGTGTTTGTTATTGTTGTTGTGTTTACTCCAAAGTTAATGTTTTCAAAGACAGCGATTTCTGAGCCTGCGTTTATATGGTAGGGACTTCCCCAGGGAAGGGAAGCAATGACTGGCCTTCAGTGATGGGGTAAGGAGCCGGTAGATCAGTGACCCAGATCTTACGCACAGTGGATGCCAAGTCAGAGGGTAACAGAGTGAACTGGAAAGAGCTGGAAGTCCTGAGGTCAAGTCCCACTGCCTAAAGGTGCAGTCTTGGCAGTGCCAGATTCCTCACCTCCTTGGTTGTCACATCTGTAAACAGGGGCCGAGAGGACAGTGGCTTCTGACTATGGACAATTTCCACCTTCAAGAGCCTATGTAAAACCAGACACTTCTTAGAGAGATAGCAAGAAGAAAGGGAAAAAAGGACCAAATTTATTTGGGCCATAGTTGAGAAAATACCAAGTGGGTCTTGGCCTCTGTGGTATATATTTTCTTTTTCCTTTGTATCCATTGCTATTTTACATATGTATTAATTTTATTTCACCAATCAGAGTACATGTTTCCTAGGAGCAAGAAAAAGTGTCACAGAACTCATTGAATTTCTGAACAAATTGTATTATGAAAAAATATTATAAAATTAGAAATTATTTTAACCTCCATTTATTACATTAGAAAAAATATCTGTCTGTTGATGATATAGCATTATAAATGATACCATTCCTTTCTCACGTCAACATTGTCATAGTGTTTCTGTGCCCATTTTACAGATGAGGAAACTGAGGTAAAGAGAGGTTAGAAGATTTGCTGAAGTTACATAAATAGTAAACAGTAAAACTGGTACTTGCATCAAAGTCCTCAAACTTAAACTTCTAGACTCTTTAGGAGTCACATGGATCGCTTTTGTATCTCATGTGGCGCTCAACACAATGCACATATGTAAGAGGTGATCAATCAGTAATTGTGGGCTAATGAATACCACACAATTACAAATTGCCCAGCTTAAAGGCTGGGGCTGGATCAAATGGCCTGGCATGATTTTTCTCTCACCCAGAAATACCCTTGGGCCCTGAGTGCCCCAGGCTGTAGGAGCCACGGCTCTGGAGGGACCGCCTGGACCTGTTGGCACGTATCCCAGTCATGTGGCTGGCCAGGCGCCTGCGGTTCCCCTTTCTCATATGAGCAGCCGGCAGGCCCAGGCCAGGACTGGAAGCCCCCTTTACAAATACATTCCAGTTTGCATTCCCCCTTGGCCAACAGACAGGGCCCTACAAAGCACCCAGCAAAACCAGCCAGGAAAAAGCCCTCACTTCTGGCCACAGGAACTTCAGCAACACGTCAGCCTGAGCCTGAGGCGCCAGCTCTGCCCACAGAACGCCTGGAGGCAGTAACCCCAGCCCAGCCAGGTCGCATGGACTCACTGAATTTTATTTGCCCATCAGGGGCCTGGAACAAAATTGAAAAGCAAACACCTTGTGCAGTTAAGTTGGTTATCTTAACCACAAATAAGACTGGACTTGTGTCCAACCCACTTGTCCCAACAGCTCCGTTTGGGAATACATGTGTATGCAGCTCTCTCAGGGCCAGAGACTTGGTCCTTCTGGTGACATCAGCTTTGGATTGGGTCACTTTGGCAGCTCAGCCTCTTCCACTGACTGGGTGTAAGTGCTCCCTTCCTCCCCCAACCTACCCTTTGTCATCCTCACAGTAGCCCTGGTCTGGCTCCTCATTCACTAGCCCAGATCTCAGCTCTGGGTGAGCCCTTGGCCCACTGACCTGTCACTGCCAGGTCTGGCTTCTCAAGCTCCACATGCAACCATCAGCCTCTATTGATAACCTTCAAAGACTCCCCAGTTCTTTCGCAGCAGATTTTAGCCCAGAGTCTCTCTTAGAGTTCTTCTAAGTGCCTCCACCAAGTCCCACAGGCTAGCTCCCATTTCTCCCAGCACACCCCTTCTGTCTTACTAGACTGAGCTCTCCACTGTCCCAGCACACAGTAGACCCAACCTGACCTCATGGCATTTGTTCATGTGGAATTACTGGGTCATATGTCTAATTTTTTGAGGAATTGTCACACTGTTTCTACCAAGCAGCTTCATCATTTTACATTCCCACCCACAATGTATGAGAGTCCATTTCTCCACATCCTCACCAACATTTGTTATTGTTTGTCTTTTTGATTGTAGCCATCCTGGTTGGTGTGAGGTGACATCATTGAGGTTTTGATTTGCATTTTTCTAACGATGTTGAGCATTCTTTCATGTGCTTATTGACCATGTGTATAGCTTTTTTGGAGAAATGTCTATTCAAATCTTTTGTCCATTTTTAAATTGGGTTTTCTTTTCATTGTTGAGTTGTACAAATTTTAAAATTCTGGATATAAGTCCCTCATCAGATATATGATATACAACATTTTTCTCCCATTGTGTTTGGGTTGTCTTTTCATTTTATTGATGATGTTCTGTGAAGCACAAACATTTTTAATTTGGATGAAGTTCAACTTACCTATTTTTTCTTTTGTAATTTATGTTTTTTGATATCATATCTAAGAAACCATTGCCTAATCTGAGGTCACAAAGACTTAAAATTAAGTTATATTTTCTTCTTAAAGTTTTATAGTTTTAGATCTCACATTTAGATCCATTTTAGTTAACTTTTTGTATATGTTTTGAAGGTAAGAGTCCAAATTTGTTCCTTTGAACATGGATATCCAGTTGTTTAACACCATTTGTTGAAAAGACTATTATTCCTCCCCACTTAATTGCTTTTATGCCCATTACAAAAATCAAGTGACCAAAAATGAAAGGTTTTATTTTTAGATTCTCAATTCTGTTCTATTGATTTCTATATCTATTTTTATGCCAATACTACAATCTTGATTTATAGTAAGTTTTGAAATCAGAAAGTGTGAGTCCTCTAAGTTTGTTTTCAAGATTGTTTTAGCTACTTTGGGTCCCTTGAATTTCCACATGCGTTTTAAGATAAGCTTATCAGTATCTACAAAGAAGCCAGCTGGGATTTGGGCAGGGATTGTATTGATTCTGTATATCAATTTGGAGAGTATTGACATCTTAACAATATTAAGTCTTCCATTCCATGAGAATGGGATATCTTTTTTTCCCCATTTATTCAAGTCTTCTTTTATTTCTTTCAGTGATATTTTATAGTTTTCAGGGTACACGTCCTACAATTATTTGGTTAAATTTATCTATAAGTATTTAATTCTTTTTGATACTATTATGCATGGAATTATTCTCTTAATTTTATTTTCTGATTTTTCATTGCTAGTGTTATAGAGGTATAATTGATTTTTTGCATATTTACCTTCTATCCTACAGCCATGCTGAACTCATTTATTTGTTCTAATAGTTTTTTTTATAGATTCCTTAGGATTTTTTAATATACAAGATCATGTCATGTGTAAATAAAGCTAGTTTTAGTT